AAATAATACCGAACAACTTAATGAAGATCCAAGTGAATCATTCCGGTAGAAAAAAAAAAAAAGTTAAATTGAATTTTAAAGTAATATATATATACATTTTTTATTCATAGAATGCTTAAAGGTGCTATGAAAGTTTCAACATTAGCCATGCGTCTTTTTCTTCAAAATGATTATGAATATTCATTAGTACTTATATGTGCTAATAAGCCAACTGTAACATTACTTAATGATATATGTCAAGAATTAAGTATTGGATTAAATGCCCAAGCTATTGCAGCTATTCAATTAGATTCTACTGAAGAACAATCAAAACCAATAACATATCAAGTACAAGCACATGTTAATGATGCATGTCTTACTGTTCAATGTAGTCTTTTACCTAAACATACAATTCGAATTATGTTAACATCACCCGTATTTCGTACTGAAAATTTTCTTAATCTTGATGATAGTACACGGCAACAAATAGTTGAATTAAATCCTGATCCAACTGACATGTTAGATAAAAATAAATGTTTAGAAGCAGCTGCTGAAATACGTACGTATATAAATAAATAGATTTCAATTCGTAAATGTATATCTGAAGCAATAAAAGTTCCTTTTGTGAAACATAATCTTAAAGAATCCACTCACAATTTGTAATAGATTTAGCCATAGAATTAAAGTCTTCTATGAGATTATTATCAAAGAAAATTGAATTTGAGATATCTATTTTTGTTAATGTTTTTTAAAGCTCATTGTCAACGTACTATGAATAATATCTTACATCACGTATATATATGTAGATACATCAGTTTCTACATTTTGATTCTGCAGGAACTGTACTAACACCTTCTATTTATTATCTTGAAATGAAAAGAAAGAAAGTCAGTATTACGTCACATTTTCCAACTAATGTCTATTTTTAATCGGTTTTCACGAGATTCTTTGATGGCATAGAATAAAGGCTGAATATATCATTTTGTAGCGCCTGCAATGCTGTACCAGTTGAGAAACAATTTAAAGCTTTTGTCATCAGAACATTTACTGTAGCATATGACAGATAAGAAGAAAATAGTATATACTTAATATTGAATTTTCAAGGATATCTTTCCATGTGAACTTACTGTTTGATCAGAATAAGTTATTTTACTTTTTGTGAGAAAGGACACCTTGGAAAATATAAACAATACTTTCCAATTGATAAGACACAAGCAAACAGATGAGTAATTTTCTAAAAACATGCATCGGAGTATGGTTTGATAAATAGGTGTTGTATATAGTCTTTGAATATATTTTTGTAACAAAAGAAACTTTTCAGCTGCTCTCTTTCCGACTTCAGTGACTGTTTTTGCATATATATATGTCACATAGCGTTCTAATAAAAATTCCTAAAAGAATTTCGGTTCCTACTGATATTGACCAAACTGTCGAATTTTTAACATGTCTATTTCCTGTATGTCTCACGTTTTCAGAAGACTCGAGATTTCTAAAAATTAGACATACTAAAAAAATTCGATAACTTAGTCGATTATTAGTCATAAACCAAATCATTTTGGGTTTTTTTTAGAGCGCTATGTTGCATCTTTAGACAAAAAAACCCACTGGAATCAAAAGAGGACAGTTGTAGATGTTTCCTTGTAAGTTCAAACCTCTGCGATAACGTTACGAAATAAAAATTTGAAAATTTTCTAGTATTATTATAAGAAAAATTCAAGTTAATATTTACATAGACCTTGTTTTACTCATTATTTATACTCTAGATTGATTCATACTTATTCTAATACTTTAGTATTTTGCAAGTTTGAAGAGTTTTTCATAATAAAAATTTAAAGTCATGAATTTTGAATCTTTTATACAACAAAAAAAAAATGTCATAGAGATTGTTTTGAATGTATTTCATCGATTTTTAGGTCATTCCAATTGGTTTACCCGTTGTATGCTTGAACATAATTCAAATTTAATTGTTCTCCGTCTTTTACGAGATTTACAATACAATCAAACACCATTATCATCATTGAATCTTTGGTGTCTTGCTTTACTTGTTCATAAATGTCAAAATCAACCATCAACTTCATCAACTCATCTTTTCCGTGCAGTATTTGCTTGTTTAAGTAGTGGCATACTTTTACCAAATCATATTGGTCCTGGTATAATTGATCCATGTGAAAAAGAACTTGTTGATGCTGCTGCTTATTTGACATTGGAACAACGTTTAAATATAACAAGTTATGCACAAAATATACTTCGTTTAATTTGTTTCGAAAAATATGAAACAATATTCCATATGAAATCAAATCAAACCGAACAATTATCAATGAATTCAACATTAGGAGATAACAAAATGGAATAATATAAAGACATTTATAGTGAACAAAAAATGAGTTTTTTTTTCTTTCTTCTAGATATTGTATGTGTGTACACCATATCATACAAATTATTAAAAAAAACAATAAATTAGTTCGTCTTTTAGAATGAAAATAAATTTTAATCAGGATTAAACGCAAATTATACGTCATCATAGGACGAATACTCTTACCTTTCAGCTACATTACGCTGCAGAGTGCTATCTACTGGCAGATTCAGTATTCCGATATCTTCCCTATAACTAAGACTAGCTGGTCTAATACAGAGTTCTTACGTCTAAGTGGTTGAGTTCCTCAAACACACTAACTAACCGCAAGGGTAGTTGTATATCAGAACGTAGTTATCATGTTACAGGACGGGTAATTCGACAAAAAATAGCTGTTAGTAACTTGTTCATCGTTTTTTTTTTTCAGTTTCAGTCTGTATATTGAGTAAGATTGTGTGAGGGTAAAGTGTGTAAACAAAGCAATGTTGAGCAAAGATAAGATTGCATCTTTCTTTCTATCTTCCAGTATGGTCGCATCTGATCGAGAGTTTTTTGCCATTGTCTGTCTTATATTCTTTGATCGTATTAACAAGTTTGAATCAATAAAAATGCATTAAAACCAGTTCAACGCTGTTCATTGTATTACGTTTGTATTGGTTCTCTCCATGATTATTGATTCATAGTTATCTAGTGTTGCGAAAATCTATAGGCTAAGTATGATTTGAATGATATTGAAAAGGCTGTTAAAATTGAACGATTGTTCAAATATCAGTTTTCTAGAACATTCATTTGTTATGGTGTGACAAGAACATTTAAAAATATTTCATAATATAAATAGAAGTTTTTCTAGAAGCTTTACTATTTTTGCGAATGTTTACATTGTAGTCGTATACGATGGGAATACGATATGTATACGAAGAAAATGCCTCTATATATATTATCGTCTGACCTTGTCCATAAAGACAGTCGTACATTATGGACCAGGTTTCCGACAAATTACAGCATCTAAACGGACCGTTTACGACCATAAAGACGTCATCATTGAGAACTATACAAGCACTATAGGGAAGCATTTGAGTAATACCAAGTAGATCCGTTCTTGCAATGATTTTTATTTCGGAAAAAAAATCAATATAACATGAAATATTTTCTATCAGAGATAAATTTGAATTCTCGTAGTGTACTCAGTTAATACACTAAAATACAATGTGTCGTAATCAAAAAGTGCCGTGATTTTTTGGCTAATCATTCATTCATCGATTTGTTTTGCCTACATTGCGACCTCTAACCAGGATGACGAAATCTACTGAATTAATGCATTTTTGTAAATATTTATTCGAAATTATTTCTCTATTAGCCTTCAGTTGAGAAAATATTGAGAGACCAACCGATGATCGAAAGTGCAAAGGCAGGTATTAATAATTCAAAATAAACTGAAAAAAAATAAAAACTATTCGATTTCCCAGAAAAAGACGGCCACGTGCTTCGTGACGATGATGATAATTTGTGTAATGAACTAGCTTTATAGTCAGAATCGGCAGCTGCAGCAAGATTTTGTTCTTAGAAAAGCAACAATTAACAAAAGTAAATCGACTGATGGATCATATTCTGGAATTTATTAGAATCAGCTCAATCATTATGGTTGTCGGTATCGTCGACCCATTCTCATCACCATTTGATAAGTTGAAAAAAGATTCATAGGAATAGCAGTTTCTATATAGTAGATGTGAGTAAATTACTGATTTGTAAAAGTAAGAAGTCAAGAAAATCTGTTGAAAGATCATAGTTTATATAAACCAAGTTGTTCATCCATGAAAAGAAATAAAATAGCGAACGCGAAAGAAAGATGGTGATGTATTACTAGTCGAGCGTCTAATGAGTTTGCTTATCATTGTCATTTCTTTCTTTGGAACAACAATAGATTAACGAAAGAAAAAGAAGACCGACATAATGATATTAATAATAATCATAAATCAGCATTTATTAGTTATACTACAAAAACAAATCGATTGTGGTTGGCAGCCGCTGTTGTTGACTTGCACAATAGATACGTAAACAATAACAACATTTGGCAATATAGAGAATCATACAACGAGAAAAAAAACTTAGCTACACAACATCCGATGGTTGAAATTAAAAACTATTTAGTAGTAACATCATCGTATATATATATATATATTGATATTTATCTTATAATAACAAAAGTAATAATATGAACAAGGGACATATGTACTTTTGTTCTATACTTCAGTTGAAAACATATACTCACCAATTGGTACCTAAAACAATAATTTATATTCAAAAAAAATACATCGCTTGTCTTTTTTTCATGAATTCATATTAAAAACTACATTTATATCCAATTTATTCTATCTAAATCATAGGACCATCTTTCTTGTTCTTCTAATTTACTTTTTTATTCATAATATATATTCACATTCATCGTTTTTGTGTCAATTTTCATATACAAACACATATTATTGACTTTTTTGTAACTATCTGTTTCACACTTTGATGATCTTGAATTTAGTCTCTGATAAAAATACCATCAATTACAAATATATTATGTATAAAATTTGTTTATATCAATAATAGGTTAACCATGGAAAGAAAAGGAAGCAAATGAAAATAAGTGCAATGACTGTAAGAATACACGTGCATGTATAGTTTAATTAAAACGTAATTCATTATAATAATGAAGTAAACTAACAATACTGGTTTGATCACTTGTTGTTGTACGTACAACACGTAGGCGATCAGCTCGGTCAAAATTTGATCGTACGAGTTCATAATATTCACCATCAGCTAATACTAATGATTGAAGTTTTACACAACGAATTCTATACATACATATATGTGATGATTTTAAAAAAAAAGAGAAAAAAATAATAAGTAAATATAAAACATACCGAATATGATCAATAAATTTTGAACTATTTTCATTCCATCTTAATGTTTCTTCATCCCATTGAATTTCTAATCGTTCTAATTTTTGACATTCTTGTGCACATGCTTCTAAGATTTGATCAATATGAATACGTGTAGATATTTTCTTGAACCAACCATATGCAGTGCCCATAACCAATATTCTTCAAATAGGAAGAAATATTTTCATTAGAATTTTAGACAAACTTTATCAACAAAGGTCACAGCTGATGGCACCGGTAATTTTTCTATCATTAACACAATAGGAAAACTAATAGTATAGATCTATACAGTTTTTCATGCTCTAAAAATTGACGTAGTGATCGTGTTCATCAATTAGTTTAGGCAGGCTTACAATGCTACGAATCTCATATCACTGTCTAACTCTGGCCGAGTAATCTGAATATTTTGCAGATACAAAAGGTATTTTCAATGTTCTTTCCATTTAAAAGCTTAGTAGAACAAGAAGTTATGTATTCCACTATCTCTTATTCTAGTTCACATACTTTTCTTTATTGACATTGAACAATGATGCATAGTGAGTGTATCGTCTTTTCAATATTGATATAAAGATCACAGATTATATATATATATATAAGAAAATAAAGACAATCAGGAGAGAACTCTATCACATAATCGTGTTTTCTCAACTGTGGTATATTATCAAGGACAAAAAGAGGCCAAGGACATATCTTTTGTTTGCAACCATGAAGTGAAAGGAAGGAAAAGGAAAAGGAAAAGGAATTGAGAATTAGATTTGATCTAGAGAAAGAGAAAAGTGGCCAATATCTAGGTTTGATTTGGATCTAGTCGGGTTATCAAAATTTGATCTATATGTCTAGCCCTGCATAATCTAATCGATATATCATTTTGTAGAGTATGAAAAACAACGTTGGTCTATACTATTAGTTTTCATATTGAGTTTGAAAAAGAAAAAAATTAAGGTTACTATAGTTATTATGTAAAACTGATAGATTCTCCTAAAACTATATAATCCTCGAAATTTTTTTTTTCATTCAACAAAACAAAAAATTAATATACAGAAATATGTAGAATTTCATGTTCTATCTTTCTAATCTAGTGCAGGAAAAAACTGACGGAATAACAGATTTGCGATCTTATCTGACCATCTTCTTCGATCTCCAAAAAAAATTATTCATTATAGTACAATCTATATTAGTTATTATTCTTTTTAGATAATTTGAAAAATAATAATAATACTTGATATTTTTCATATTTTTAATTATATTAGTCCAAAATTGTTCCGTTACTTTGGCATTACCAGCATAAGCTATGCCACGTAATTGTCGTCCATGTCGTTTAACAAGCGTAGATACAACATCATAACTAAGATTAACTGTATTACTTAGATCAATAGCACGAATATTAGATAATTTTCCTTGTTCAATAAGAAGAGCGAGAACCTTAAATTCTTAAATTTAATAGACAATAAATAATGAATATTAATATGTTTACATTATCAGTGAAACCATCACAATTAGGTACTGCTAAATAGGTTAATTTCGGCATTCGTGCAAAAACATCTAAAAGACAATTTTCTGATAATTCAGTTGATGATATGTCAAGTTCAGTAACAGAAGATGATGCCCAATCAGCTGCTAAGATTGCTTTATCTTCAATACCTATTAATAATTAAAATAAATAATTAAATAAATAAAGTAAAAATTCTTTTGTTTTATTTTGTACCAGTATTTTGAAGAAGAAGGCATTGTAATTTTTTACAACGTTGTAATAAATTTGTAAAACTTGCACCTTTGACACGTGTACAAAAATTTAATGCAAAACATTCAAGATGAATACAGCCGGATGCTATTATGTCTATATGATTATCATCAATAAAAAATATACCATATAAATTTATGACCTATAAATAATAATCTATGTTGATCACTATAATCAAGAAAAACTTACACGAAGATTTGGTGTTTGAACTTTTATTTTACTAATATTAATTGTTTCATAAACTTCTTCTTCAGCTTCATTTGATTTCTCAATAGTACCTTTAAAAATTTACGAAAAAAGAAAATAATAACCATCACAAAAGTTCGTTGAAATATCATTTCATTAAAAAAAAAATTCTTTCTTACCAATAATTTGTAAAATTTCTACTGATGATAAATATGTATATATACGTCTCATAAAACCTTCAAGAAAAATAACTTCTGATAAACAAATACAAAGCATTTTAAGATTGCATGGAAATACATTTAAATCATTAAAATCATGTAATTGCATAGCTGTTGAAAAATCTAATGTTAAATATTTTAAATTTGGACATTTATTAGCTAATTCATGTAAAACATCAGCTGTTATTAATTCCATAGGTAATTCAATATATTGTAATGATAATGAGAAACGATGACCAATTAATACAAGAAATTGATCAAGATTTTTTACATGTAAACCATGATATTCTGGTCGAAGAAAAACTTGTTTCCATAATCTTGAATTTTGACTTAAAGTACGCCATAAACGACAAACACGAGCACAACGTAATAATTCTACATGTGGTAAATAAGCAAATATTGTTAATAAAACTTTTTCTGGTAGAGTATTAAAATCACGCTAAATTAAAAAGAAAAAGAAAAAGAAAAATACAAAATGAAATAGAAATGCATTTCTCGTCATTTTAATTCTTCTATTTTAATCACTTTTCGTGTTCGTCTCATAATTGATGTTTGGTATTCCATGATGGTATGTGTAAATATTATATGGTAAATCTATAACACTGTATGTGTATAAGAAAAGAGGAAAGAAACAATGTTAACAAGAATTATTAATACACATCAGTCATATAATCATCGTTGATGTTCGCTTTTTTTTTTGTCATCGCTTATTTTCTTTCGGGTCATTTACACATATAAATGTATAAGATTTATATGGATCTATTTACAAATAGAGGTTTTTTAATGATAACAAATTACCTGTGTATCGCGTAGTGGTACACAACTATTTCGATGCTTAGCTTGTTGAATCGCACTGCTATTCATTTCATAATCGAATTTTGTTATGCATGACTATGTTGCTTGTTTCTATATGTTTTGTCATCGTCCGAAGTCTATACATATGGTATTACTTGTGTAGGGTTTTTTCCCTTATTATGGTTTCCAAACGTTTTTGCTCTTTTTTTTTTATTCTTATGTACATAACCCGAACAAATAACGCCTATTAGTATAATGTAAATGAAACTATTCTGTATCAAATTAATCTAATTACAATTAGAATACTAAGGTCATTGTGGTTTAGCTATTATTGATAGGAGAAAAGTATTGATCGAGCGATTCTTTCGTCTAACGAGGCAATAAAACCTTTTATAACATAAGACAAGTCAAAACATATACAAACTTAAACGCTTATTGGTATTTTCTTCGTTACTTCTACCGAACAATCGGCAATAACCATCTGTCACACATATATAAGATATTTGGGAAAGGAAATAAATGGAAATTGCAAAGAGAAATTTGCTCCGATTTCCTGTTTAGGAAATACGAACAAATACTCATCATTAACAATGGAAAATCAGAAATAGAATACAACATTTTTCTTTGGTATTGTATGTTTGTTTTACATCATAAAGACAAAAGCGATTTATATGCACATCAACTTTCAATATTATATATGTATATATATTTCTCAAGAGACTTTCACTAGATAACATTGATTGAGTGATTGTTACTAGCAATCAAGAACCAAAAAATAGATAAAAACTATAATGTCTAGGAATATTTCTTTTTTATCTCAACACTAGAGACAATTTGACTAAAGTGCTATGATTAGTCTATTATACTATAAAAAAAACAAGGATTATACAGAATGTCTCAAAAGTTCTGAAAAAATTCTTAAAATTCATTGTTCTCGTATCCAACAAAAGCAAACTCTTTGAAATCTTGATAAATTATTGTACATACTTATTACTATATAACTACAAATCTTCAGATCTATAGCTTTTACTATGGATGAGATATCATTCGTTGACGTCAAAAAACATAAATATTGTTGCATGTCTTTTTAATATTATCTTTCAATTATCCAATGTTCCTATATTTTCGCGCTGGTAATTTCTCCATTAATGTATCCCAAAGGTTTTTTACACGCGAAAGTTCTGCTAACTTTGCAGTATAATTGATCGATTCAATTTGATTGATAAAAACATGCTTAAAATCTTGATCAGAATGACCCTATAAGATATCAGCACAATTAAAATTAGTAACTGATGAACATAATAATCAACTATACGAGCATTAATAACTAATAGTCCATGATAGTGTTGCAATAAATACTCAACTATGATAAAATCTGTAGATCTAAAGATTTGTAGATATTTAATAATAAATATATAATTACAATAATCTGTCAAGGTTTCAAAGAGTTTGGTTTTGTTGAATGCGAGAACGATGAATATTAAAATCGTTTAAAAACTTCTATGATATCTTTTATATGATGATATCAAATAGAACACGAGGAGATATTCAATCTTACTCTTAATCGACGTCGAGATCGTTGACTTGAATTGTGTCCATCATTTTGATTTATATCCTCATCATTTTCTCCATCAGAAATTTTATGACCCCATGCTTCGTGTGCAACGATGGAAAAAGCAGCTGTCGGATTCGACATTGTGAATCGACGAAGTTCCATTATAATTTTTTTCTCTTTTCTAACGTCAAATTAATATCCATCCATTATTTGTTTATATCTGGGCAGTATTAATTTATTCTCATAGAGTTAAAGATCATTAGATCGAGGCGGTGCAAGAAAAAAGAAGAGACATAATGAAAGAACAGAAGAAAAAAACTACAGACAAGCAAGGCTATTCTCCGATTTCATCATCTATTTGCTTGTTCATGATCGATCACAGACAATTTATAGACAGTACGATATATCACACACACACATGTTGCCGTGATACTTCACCAAATAGAAATGTCGTGTTAATGTATAGAAACCAAAAAAACCAATACATCTCAAGAATAGTATGTCACTTATTTATATGTTGGAAGGAAAAAAAAAGGCGATCCAAAACCCAATAAAACGTTATCTGCACCATAAAATAAAATATTATCTCATGAACAAACACCAGATTAACAAAAAAAAAAACTTTTCTTTTTAAATACAATATAAAAGAAAAGAAAAATAATCTATGTAGATGCTGGTGTATGACTTTTTGTTCCATGTTTAAGAACATAATGTGATGTTGGTAAAATACGTGCAAGAAAATCAAGTTGATGTGTTTGAAACTAGAAAAGAATAAAGAAATTATTCGACATTCTTCGTTTTTGTATAATGAAAAAAAAAGATAATACATACAGCAGGTCGATCAGGCATTGTACGTCGTTGATGATCACTACCAAATATAACTGTATTTTCTGGTAAGATTTCATTTGTTGTTAACGAACATTTAGCACCAATAACACAACCACTTGTCAATGTAACACTACGACCAATTTGAGCTAAAGTTAATGTATTGATTAATAAATAAAATTAAAAAAAAAAAAACTATTTTTTTATATACCTTTACATTCGAGAATATTATTATCGCCAACTTTAAGAGCTTCACAACCTAAAAATAAATCAATTAATTTAAACATAATTCATAATTAAATAACATACGTGAACCAACTTCAAAGACATTATTATTTCCTATAATCATAACAACTTGATTCATTTGATCTTTATCAACACCAGCTGGAAATCTAGAGAGCAGAAAAAAAAAATGGGTAATCTTCAAGAAATACAAAAAATTATTTCATTTACCGATTAGCTATAACACATTGTTCTTCAATAAGATTTCCATCACCGATAAAAATTGGACCAGCTTCAGCAATAATACTTACACCTGGATGAATAATTGTTTTACTGCCTACAAATATTTTCAACAAATAAATATCTTTCTTTGCTTTTTTTTAAATTATATACCAATTGAAATTTCTCCAATCAGTTGCAAACGTTCTTCACAAACATATGCACCTGGTGCTATAGTAACTTGATAACTAAAAATGGTTTTTCAAATAATTCAAATGATTTCAAATTATTGTTCGTTTTATTACCTAGAATTAATAGCTGGACACATTTTGTTCTATTTATTTAATAATTTAATGAAAAAAAAAGAAACAAAACAACGATGAATGACTCATCCAATGATTGTATTGGGTCTTTTTCCTCAGTGACATCTTTTTCTATTTTCATCGCTGTATAAGTTTTGAATAAATGAGTTTTATTTCTTCATGTGCTATAGTATTATCTGGTTTTACTAATGACATTCCAAAGAGTAGTGTCCTGCACGAATATAACTGTTCGCACTCGATACCGAGCTAGATCTAGACCGGAAGTGATCGACACTTGACAGATATTTTAGCAGTCATATGCACTTTTCAAACTTTAGTCTCTTAAGATGAATTATAATTATTGAAAAGTAATGTTGCAGCTAAAGGTGATGATTGTGGGTATATATATACATAAATAGCTATTTCACTATGACAATACATCTTCATCTTTTTGATAGACAGTTGAATATGAAACGTTTTTGTCCAAGAAATACACAAACTATATCAAAACTAGAGCTTCTTTTTTCTCGCTGTAAATCGAAAAAATTACGTTTTGACTAGTCAAATGATCGAAGTCAGATAGACGCTATCAGGTAGGCATTCCGAAATTCATTATAAAGAGAACGCTATTTAATGGATATAAACATGATTTTAAAGAATACTTTCGCTTGTTTCTCTTTCTAATTCATTATCTATCATGAGTTTTTTTTAGCTATAAGCATAAAGAGTATCGGCTAACTTTTGTTTCTCTCTTCGTTTTAATGTTTTCGAAGCACAAAAAAAAAAAAACTCTACAAGAACTTGCCATTTTTAATGGCTTTCTGTAAAAAAAAAAGTGAAACATCAAAGATCGAATGGTATGGATTCGATCATGAGATTTTATTTTCGTATTTAAATGAATATTTTCTGATTTTCGTTTCGATTTCAATCAATTTTAAAGATCACTAAAATATTATTTATCATCTTTATGTTCTA